AAGTTTTAGGCATAAAGAAGTTTCGGTTTTTAGATAATGCCTTTGTGAACCCGAAAAGTATCCGGGGCTTTCGAGAAACGGGCCCCGGGCTCGTATACACTACTGGGAAAAGGGAAACCTCCTTGTCGGTCTAAAACTACCTGGTGCCGAACTGTCATGGCTGAGCTCAGAGAGATAAAACCCAGACGAGGCACAACATATTGCCCAAAATAGGGATAAATGGAGAGGGATTGTGGATACCTTGTCTCACAGAGGACGAAGAGGATTAAGGTAAGGTAAGTTTAGTTGCGTTCCTACCACAGTTGGTGCAGCTCCGACGACAGTTGGCAGTCATAAAGGGCTTGTTCTTCGAGCATTCTCCTTTACTGGCCCAATCTATACAGTGCTTGAATCTATTAATGCAAGGACCTAAAATGTACGAAAATAGAGGGTTAAAAAAATATATCAGAATTTTATAGGATATAGAACGCGATATAATCGTAACTACATGTAACTGTCTCGTGTGGTAAAATGCTGGCCATTGCTGTTTACTGGTCAACTTAAATAATTGAATATACAAACCATCAACCCCATTTTCAAAGTTGTAAGAATTGTGAAGTAACCTTTTCAAACGAAAGAAATTGAAGATATTCTTCATATCAACCATTGTAAGGGTTATTTTAAGTGTTTGCCCTTTTGCCTTGCTGAAACACAACATGTAGCCGCCGCGGGCTGTTATTGCAACCCCTTCATACTCAATGATGGCTAAATGATCAGATCAAGGGGGTCAGATTTTCTTTGTTCCACGCTCGTACAGTGATGAACATTCCATCTTTTTTTTTAATCCGATAAATTATTTGCAATTAATAGTTAAACTATGACCCAAAATTCTGTAGCTAGGTTGCAATTAATAGTTTATCATCACTGAAAGGGGAAGTTATTTTGAATTATAGTTCACCACTAAATTTCCTCCAATTCTTATTGATTTAAATTGATCACATGACGCNGGGGCAATAGTGATGTTATATCGACCGGGCTTCACCGGAGGTTTTGAGGTGGTACAGGGTCCCAAAGTGGCATTACATGAGACATTTGTCGAAGACGTCACAGCGATTGTAGGGGTAGGGCTCGGGGAAGTCGTGACGGTGGTACCTGAAGATGTCGTCGCCTCACTTGCAGGCATACCTGTGGTTGATTCTCCGCTTGTTGAACTTGCGCTAGGTGATGTTGTAGCTGAAGGAGGCACAGAAGTAATGGGCGCTGGAGTTGTCTTGGAAGCATCGACGCCATTAGATACAGGTTTCTTGGCTGGAGATGCCACTGCCTTTGCTTGAGCTTGAGTGGGAGAATTCAATTCTACAACTTTTCGTTTTGCGTTGTCCACTCTAGACAAGAGATTCTTCAAAACTTCAGCAAAGGTGCTATCTCTCTTGAAACCTGTCTGCTCATCAGATTGATGCTTGGTAGCATTCAGATGAATTTTGCTTTGAGCTCTCTCGTGTCGTTCTTTGGTCAGCAAATGTCTTGTAGAAGAGTTTTTCCTAGATGAGCAATTACTGCCGACATTGCATTTATTGTAATTGTTTCCAGCTACCAGGTGAAGCGTTGTTGCCAAAACAAATATGACTATTTTTGGATAGCCTCTGGGCATTTTTCAAGAAAATGACCGACCTTTCTGTATTTGTTGCTTTAATAGAAGAAGAAGTATCTTTCTCAACCGATAATTTCTACCTTAACACCTCACATTTCACACAGTCCAAAACGATCTACACTAGCGATTGTTACTAATTGATGATCCATAAGCAGTTTACAAACCGTGGCTTCCGCTGCCAATATGATGCGTCCGTTAAAGTTGAGCTGGTACAGCGAAGGATCTGAAACGTGTGAAATAAGTCCAAAAACAAATAAAAATGTTCCACACCACTGTTTTGCTAAGCAAGAAGATCAACAAGAAAATAAAAATAGTCAAGCAGGTTGATTTTTCTCATAAATGTTAATCGAGTGAGCGTGTGAAACATAGGACTGGCCACCCGCTGGTGGGTTGCACCAGACTTCTCAAAAAGTCCTTAATATATCACATGAGAAACAGGTCAATAATTGTCTTTCCGTCGCAGTGAATGGTCAACTTAACAATCAATAACCCTGCTATATTCACTGGTTTAAAAAGTGTGGCAGATATAGTCAGCTCTCTCCTAGCCAGCCACCAGGGCAAAAGTCTTTCATATATCACATAAAATAAGGTCAATAGCTGCCTATCAGGCGATGCGAATGGTTGACTTAAACAATGAATAACCCCAAAGTATATCACTGGTTTGAAATTGAACCAGCTGAAATTATCTTTTTCTCAGCCAGTTATAAACACCGGGAGTCATCAACAATTACAACATTATCCTCGAGATTACTGGAGAAAAATGCTCATAATACACCAATTAATCTAACAAAATAAACAGCAATTTTCGAAGAGTTAAAATGATTACTGATAAAAATAACAGTGTGAGCCACTGAGGAAACGAAACTTTTAAAGGGTGGATCTGATTTTCGTAATGACTAAATTTTAGTATCAATCCCTTCGATCCCCTAATAGAAACACCAGAAAAGGCCGCTAACATGTCTATCAAAAACATCGCGTACATTAATATTTGACGCTTTCCTGCCATTTTATTTTGTTATTTTCTGTCTGTTTTACGCAAGCCTCGTATCGTCCATTCTCCGGTTAATTTTGCATTCAAAAGAGCGTGCTTGTTCTAACTTTTTTTTGCAAATAGGGATACATTTCACTGGAATTGTCACACGTACGATTTGTCAATTTTGACCTGCTGTTTTTAATTACATGTAGTTTCAGTAGTCAACTAAAATCATCGCTTTCGAAAGAAACGTTTTTCAGCAAACTAAGTTATATGCATATAGCATATGCATAGCTTTATGCATAGCTTTCTTTGCAAACTGAAGAAATACACAACACGTAGACAATAGTCTCAAACAAGACTGGCTATTTGGAACCCACGTCAACGGAGTTTTTTCAACCCATTTAAGGCATTAGCAGGAACGCTCGATGGCTTGGACTCGGTTTTTCAAAAGATGAATTCCAAAAACTGGAGAGCGTTGCCCGTCCGTTTAGCAATTCCCAGTTGGTTGGTACCGTCAGCAGTGTGATTTAACTGTGGCCTGTCGTTGCTTAATCATCTATTCTACGATAGAACGATTTGAGTAATGTTACTTCAGCACTGACTTTGAAACACTGAGCTGCACAAAAAGAGAGATTTGAGCATGTTTTCCTCGACGTTGATAGTTTGGAGCCTATTTTGCTTATGCAAGTAGTATAAGGAGCGACGTGAGAGAGAAAAGAACCTGAAGAAGATAATATTACTTCTGGACGTTTTGTTTTTGTTTGTTTGTCTGTTCTGTTGCAATACCTGCAAAGTAGCGTTATTTCAGGTCCTGATTGTAATGAGCTAAGTGTATTTTGGACCACGTTCATAAAGTGTTGGCTTAGTTACTTACTATATCAAGCGCCTGAAAAGCTGAGTCAGAACAAACTGTGAAAAGAGTTGAATGTCTTGAAATTGTTCATTGTACGAGTTAATTTATTTCGGAGGCAGCGTGGCCCTGGACTTGATATCCGGAGGTCGCGAGTTCAAGTCCCGCTCTGACCACAAGCTAAGCTGGAGTTGTTTCACGGTAGACCCTTGTTCAAATCTTCGGTCATGCTTGTAAATACAACTGGTCTGCCTCCCGCCAGTTGGGATTTGTAAGCCTATTATGCTTAGTTGATATGTTTGTTTATCCAGTTCAAGAGATATTCTTGCGAACTAGCTTGGTGTAGCTAAGCGCATTGACCATTATAAACAACATTTGAACATTTGATAATTTATTCAAAGAAAAACAAAATCAGTAATGTATATATTCAGTATTAGGATTGGCGTATTGAAAGTTTTTCCATTGAGAATAAAAAAGAAATAAAATTCAGAGTAACCATTGAGAAAAAAAAATAAGCGACTATTTCTTTTCTTCCTAGCTAGTAGGGTGACAACTAAGTCGAACCTAACAGACCTGAGAGTCAAGCAGGCAGGCAGACTACGTGCGGATATGACATGCGCTAAATGCTGCCACCAAGTAGCTGCCTGCAAGTTCATTTGAGTTCTGTTTAGTTAACCTTATGTCATAGTTTCAGTGAATTTACATAAGCTCCATGCACGTTTTTCCATAGCTTCGTCAAGCAAAACATCGCGTATTGCGTTTACGGTAAGTCATTAAATTATCATTTGTGATTAGGTTAATCCAAAAATTCTGTTTGGTCACGATGTAAATGTACAGCAAAAAGGAAAGAATCTGTTTCACCTTGAGAAGTTTAATATCAAACCTAGTTTTATGAAGGTTTGATTTTGACAATTCAGTAGCTTTGTTTATAAGAACTTCAATGGAACTGTTTCCAGCAAGACAGCTAAACATCATGCCGTCTGAAATTTTACTCTGTAGCTAAAGGTAATGGCAGATTAGTGGGTAATTTCTCTAGACTCATTTGATAACAAGAACCAATTTGATGCAATAGCATTGCCAGCATTGATCAGATTAATAATGGTAATAGGATTGAATGGAATCCAATTCGGTCTGTAATCATAGGAGTGATTAACAAAATCGGACGACCGCGAAGCGGGAGTCTGATTTGTTAATCACGAGTACGTATGATTACAGACTGCGGAATTGGACGGCACGATGTCCTGTTACCAATTAATCATAACCATTACAATTTACCACAAAAGTAAAAGTTTCGTTTGAAAAAGAACTTTAAATTGTCATTTTTAAATATCATGATTAAAAACATGGAGACTAGCTTGCAAAAAGGCTGTTAAGTTTCTTTCAAAACAGTCACCGGAGCAGTCACCTCCACAATCTTACAAAGTCAGTTTCTAGAATTGGTTAGTACAGTGATTGTAATCAATGTTGTGCTTGGTGGATTTAGTGGGGAGGACTTAAAATGATTGGCTCATGTCACTGTCCGATTACAGGCGACCGATTACAGCCAACTGTCCGATTACACTGTCCGATTACAACTTTGCAGATTAATTAGAGCAAAATACAGCAGTTTGTGCACCAATCGCATTTGAGGAAATTTTAATTGTTATGATTAATCATAAATGCTTTGACATTGGAAGAAACCACTTCAAATTATATTAATATCAATGTTAAAAGCCATCTAAATAAGAAGACACTATTGAAGGTAAACACCTTTACTTAACTGAGACTTGAAACAACTATACCTCAGAAAGAATATATGAATTTTATAAGATGCCACAAAAAGTTTCCTAGTCAGGTAACCCTTCCCAACGCCTGACAGCCTTTTTGGTCACAGAAAGAGTTACAGAAAACGTTTTGTCACTTTACGAGAGATGTAAAATGTACCTCTCAGTGTTAATCGTGCAATCTTGATTTCAAAACACACTGACAATTTGAATGGTTCTTTAATACCCCCCCTCCTAATGTTATTGGTTTTCAGCCGTCTTGGAAACATTCCCTCCTCTGTAAGGTATCCTTGCATCCTGCATTTATCAATTGCGTGGCACCTCAGGTCTCATTTAGCGTTCTTTATTTTCTTGAAATAATGCCTACCCTAACTAAGTAGTAATCATTATTCATATTTCTTAAACTAATTAATAATTCACCAAGTTTAGATAAAGAAAATCATGACCGTGACAGTGTTTGGATATCTGATCTTAATTAGCATAGATTTTTTACGATTTTATCTCTCCGTTATCTCGTAAGTTTTGGTTTCTATTGAGAAGATATCAAACATTCAAGACAATGTTTGACCACATTTCCAAACACCTCAAAGTTCGTCAAAAATACACCGCTGGGCGTCGTATTTTCAACTCTCTTCTCGGTGGTCAAACACGGTCTTTGGTGTTTGATATATTACATAAAGCACAATAATTAAGAATACAATTTTGCTAGTTGTACGACTACAGCTGACAAATGAGGATTGCCACCTAGACCAGCGATCAGTTCTTGAGATCTGAAAAGGAAGTAAAAATATTACTGTCACAATGATCATAAACAAGTTTATTAATGTATAGGTTTCTAAATGTCATGATGAGGTCAACAAAGTCGCATTCTCAATAAAGTAGCCCTTATTGGTTATAAAACAGAAAAAGCGTCGCGTGGTCGCGCGCGGCCGTAACAGTCCTGACAGTAGGCCGATTCCCATTTAATAAAACTCTAACCTTACTCCGAGGCTTGGAGCTAATCAGAATGGCATTGAAAGATGAACTAGACAGTACCATCCCATGAAATTCACCCATTTAACTCTTGCGTGGAATACTTACCAAACTCAGTTTTTGTGCAAGAATCATACCCGAGTGGAACTCACTTCCTGTTGAAGTAATAGACCAACCGAGTGTAGGGGCGTTTAGGGCCAGTCTCGTTTCTTTTAAATCTCAAAAGCGATTTAGTTACATTTATTTAATTTTCTTTTCTCTTTGACATCTGTGGTGATGGGTAACTCCCTTTGCAGATGACGTATATAGATGTAGCGAGATGAATAATTAATTTCTTTTGTTTTGTTTCGTTCCCCTAAGCCTCCATGTCAAGTAAGAATTTTAATATCTCGAAATTGGCCTGTTCCTTTGATAGAACTGCATAACCTATTTTCAAGGACATTCCTACAATGGTAGTAGCCGTCAGCTCACAAATTCATTTTCAACCTTGAAATCTCAATTTTGATTGCTAATTTCCCTCTACATGTTTCTTTACGTCAGGTCTAAGGACATTGTAGCAAGTCAGGACAGCATCCTTCGTGGGTCATTAATTTACATGCTGTATGAGTCAAAAAACAAAAAAAACAAAAAAACAAAAAAAAAACATGAACTCTGATTAGGTTCTGACAGGTCAATAGTCCAGTTTCGAGTTCGCCATGACCGCTGGTTAAAAGCACTGAGAACGCATTTGCACAGAGTTAGTCTCGACCTAAAGTAAAATATTCACAAATTCCAGCGAGAAGATGACCTGTATACAGCTCTGTATATTGTTTAATTTTCAAATTTGTGGCACCTTCCCGCCGGTATTTGTGAATATTTTTTTTAGGTCGAGGCTAACCCTGTGCAAATGCGTTTCAGTGCTTTTATTCAGCGGTCATGGCGAACTCGAAACTGGACTATTGTGCACTGACTAATCAAAGTAAGTTCAGGACACGCGAGGAAACCTCAAAACCATAAACCAAATTACCGTGGCTGTTTAACATAATTGGTTTTTCTTTGCTACACAATAACATTCCATAAATTACATTTCTGGTGTTCACGGTTTTCCGAGTTTCACAGTTAATTTCTTCACCTACATCTTGTATCTGATTGGCATTGCGTTCTAACTACAAACACATAATTCATGTAAACCACTCGATAAAAATATACTCACTTATCCTCTAATTCTTTGAGTACTACTTTCGTGTAAGCAAACGAGCCAATCTGCAAGACAAATGATAAATAATAATAAATCTCACAAGACAAGTAGTGGAACAAAGTGGAAAATTAAAAAACATATGAAATTCTCTTCATCCAACTTAGAGTGGACGTATCGCGTTTTCTCAGCTGGGTGATCAATTATGCTTTAAGTAGGCAAACAATGGCCAATTCCCTCCATAAGATGCGTCTACACGGAAGCATGGTAGCTGTATTCATCATCTTGGACTCGATATACGTTTTGATGAATACAATGAGTCGATTCCCTGCAGTCCGTCTCATAGAGGGAATTGGACAATATAACAATTGACAGAATAAGCACAGATCATTAGTTATATGGTGGCGGAGTTGTTTCCAGTTGCAGGTGGTTCGTAGGTGGGTGCTTTAAAGATCTGACTCTGACTTTTCGAAGGCTGGATAACGTTAAGGATAAATTGTTACCCAATAGAAAAGTGGCTACCCAGGCCACTGGATCGTAACTTATCCAATGTTAGAGTTATCCAGCTTTTAAACAACCAGAGCGGTGGTGGTGACACAAGCACTAGTGTCCAGTCCGGGAAGAACCATACTAGCGACCTCCTGTTGGGTGTTAGCAATACAGTCAACTCTCGTTAGAGCGGGCACCCTAGAGACCGTCATTTGGTGTCCGTAATAGCGAGAGTCCGCAAGAGCGGGTGTGTTGAAAATGGCCCAATTTTTGGTTGCGAAATATCACATGTAGCGTATACTGCTATATTTTTTCTTAAGGCTTCCAGTTTCTTTTCAGTAAAAAAACCTACTTGGTACATATTCACACAATACAGGCCAAAATAGTACACAAACTAGTAAATATTCCAAGACCGCAGATCAGTGATAGAACAATTATATCATTCAATACATGTACTTCTAAGTTGTCCGTCGTATCAAGAATAACACAATAAACATTTTAGCTTGGGACCACATGAAGTGTCCACAATTCCGTAATGCAGAGACATCGAGATATCGATATCTGTTCGAGATACCGCTACGGCGATATTTCGCAAGAACGATATATCGGCGAGCTGTCGAAGGAAAGTTCCGATATCTCGTCGAATTATCGTTACAATGCGTGCGATATATCGCCAAGATATCGTCAAGATATCGCAAGAACAAAGTGCGATTTTCGACGATTATCGCTTGTATCAGTTTTGTACAATACTGTAGTTATGTCCCAAACAGATTGCTAGGAAGCGCTCGTTGAAGTCAGCTGATAATAATAAATTGTGAGTGACCAGTTTGTGATATCATTTTGAACTCTTAATTTACCTGTTCTAAATAATCTACAAAATACTTCTTGATATCTATATCGGTTGTTCTCTGTTTCAAAATGTCTAAAGAATGAAAAGTTAAGGTTTAATATAACTCGTTGCAAGTTACTTTCAGCTATTTTCCCTGTGCCTCGTACAAAATATACAGATAGATCCATACATGCATGCTATTATTTCATGAACTCCTGCAGTCCTGGGGCAGGTTACCTCTGCGGAAATTCATACAAATTCATACGGTGCAACATAGGCAGTAAGACGGAATTCTAAGACCAGGCGTGCGCAGATGCGACGCAGATACCGCCGAAATAACCATAAAACAACAACCAGTGCTTGTATGAAGGAACGATAAAGGATACTCAAAATCCGTGTGCTTTCAGAGTCACTGCGTATGCCATGGATAATTGGAAATGAAAACTTTCCTTCTGTTAGGTCTTCACAGAAACTCTTATTCTCTTTGTACTTTTTGGACAAGAGACAAAAAAGTATTAGGCTTTATGCAGTATTAAAGGTACATGTACCATTATTGTAAAGTTAACATGTAAAATGTAAAGTTAATCAGGTAATCAAAGGAAGAGGGGAAAATGAAGTTGGGTGTGTGATGAAGTGAGTTGAGACACAGAGTAAATAAAATAAGTTCGTTTCCCACCTCCTCTGAGAGTAAATTAGCGTAATCATCCCTTATTTGGAAATACAGCGAAAGTGTATCCAGTAAAGGAACAAAGTCGCTGAAACAAACAAATTAAAAAAAAAAACTCTTGTTGATAAATTTGTAAAAATAAAATAAAATAAAATAAAGTAAAACAGATGTTGAGCAATAAATCTTAAAAAAAAAACTATATAACCAGAGAAACGAAGTAATTATTTAATTAAAAAGGTATAGAAGGAAGTGCACTAAATGAACAACATACTAACAAAAACATCAAATACAACAGCAACAACAACAAAAAGTAAATAAACCTCTGCAGAACTGGAAAGGGTACGGTGTAAAAGACCAGCAGGTCAAGGGCTCTGTGTCGGTAGGAGGGGGAGAGGGGAGG